TACCTGCATTCATGTCGGCCCAGAGCGAACACGACCGCTCACTGGAGCCGGCATTAAAGCCGCTCGTCGGCCGAGAGCACCACCAGCTGCGTACGCCTTCTCTCTGCATTGAAACGACATCAGTTTGCCCGCCTACATCCACTAAACCGGTGTGTGTGTTTGTGTGTGTGTGTGTGTGTGTGTGTGTCGAGGAACCTACTCCGGCGCCTCTAGCGCCACACATCTGTTCTTGTGTCGGTCGACATTAAACACATTTCCGGCTGGCTCCTCGCATCTGCCCGCTAAATAAACGTGGCCAGGTGTCGGGCAAGAACCACACCTTACCTCCACTCTCCATCTCCTCCTTGTACAACATCAGCCATGGCCTTCGGCGAGTAGAAGAAGGAGGTCTTCGACATTGCACCAGCTTGGGTTACACGGTGAGCCAGCCTGATATATGTTTGGCTTGCCGGCAAACCCTCCGGATCCGGCGCCACCGCCATTTCCAGCCCCTCCTCGCCCATCTAGGATGGCCAACACTATCTCCAGTCAAATTCGCCGTGAGCAATGGCGGCAAGGCATCAGGCAATTGGGGAAAGAAGCCATGTCTGCGGAGGCCGGCACATCCTTGGCTACCGCGGACAGCAGGAAAAGTAGATCATGAGAGGCCACCGCCACTTGGGTCCCACGAAGGCCACTGCCACCGCGTCGTCGGGTGGCACCACCGTTGACTCATCCTCTCGCGGGGCTGTAGGCCACGGCGCCCATCTTCCCTCGTTCAAAAACCAACCCTGCACTAGTAGAAAATAGGGCTTTGGTCCAAGCCGGGTAAGCCCATTAATCCCGGTTCACTCACGAACCGGGACCCATGGGGACATAGGTCCCGGTTCGTGAGGCCAGGGGGGCGGCCGGGCCTTGTGGGGCATTGGTCCCGGTTCGTCTGGGCCCTCTTGTCCCGGTTCCAAACACGAACCGGGACCAATGGGCCTCGTTCGTAGCCCACAACCTTTAGTCCTGGTTCATGGCTGGAACCGGGATCAAATGTGGTCCTTTAGTCCCGGTTTCAGCCACGAACCAGGACCAATGAGATGCCTATATATACCTCCTTGCCCGCAAGCAGAGCAGTGGAGTGCTCTATTTTTTGGCCGGACGTGGGAGAGCTTTGTGGTGCTCTAGCTCACCTCCTATGCACATGAGGTGTTCGATGAAATGCTCGAGCCACACTTAAGCTTTCTCCTCTCGAAGCTTCTTGTCCAAGGTCCATTTTCCTTAAGATTTGTCTAGGTTTGGCGGCCCGTCCTGTCCCGTCCCCGTCCTCACCGTCGTCAATCGCCCTCGCCGATCTCGTCGCTGGTACCACCATGATGAGCCTCTTGATCTTATCTTCTTTCTAAAAGAAAGAAGTTCTTACTTGTATGATTTAGATAGATACTTGTGTAATTTTCTTACTTTTATTATTGTTTGTTATTATATAGTGCGATGATTTTGGTATCCGCCTCCGTCGGCCCTCGTCCTATCTATGATTCGGATGTGGTATATACTATTTTTTATAACTATTTGGTTCATTTAGTGTTTATGACAATTATGCCAACCAATGTGACATAGAATTTTTTTATCTAGGAGGTATGTGAACCGGAAATTCCAACCGACCCTATTGTCGAGAGGTTAAATTTAGTTGAAGAAGAAAACAATTACTTGAAGGAAAAATTAAAAAAAATGAGGAGGAGAAGATGATATTGGAGTTGCATGTTGCGGATGTCATCGATGATAACAAGATCAAGATGGATGTAATGTGCTTGAAGATTATGATCGCATTTGTTGTTGCATTGAAATGTTTTACATAGTTTCAATGTATGGTTTAATTAGATACTCTGGAGTGCTATATGTTGTTCAATGAGAACTATGTATGTACTTTGGTTTTAATGTGATGATGAACTTCTATTAATTTGGTCACTTATGTATTCATGATGTTCTGTAATGGTTTTTGACACACTTAATTATATGTAATGCACGCAGATGAACCGAAAATGGATCTACGGTAACATTATATGTAATGCACGCAGATGAACCGGAAATGGATCTACGGTAACAGACGCACCTCCGAGTACATTAAGGGCGTGCATAATTTTCTCGCAGTGGCTGAGGCAAACAAGCAGAATGGTTTTATGTGTTGTCCATGCCCTATATGTGGGAATACGAGGTCTTACTATGAGTCGAAAACCCTTCACACCCACCTGCTTTATAAGGGTTTCATGTCACACTATAAAGTTTAGACCAAGCACGGAGAAAGAGGGATTATGATGGAAGACAACGAAGAAGAAGAGGATGATGACAATTATGTGCCCCCTGAATACGGTGACGCTGCAACGTGGGAAGCTGAAGATCAAGATGAACCAGACGAAAACAAAAACTATATCCTAGCTACTTGGGCCGGCTCATCTGCAGTTTGTTCGCAGACAAGGGTGGACTTGAAACTAGGACAAAAAAAGGTTGGACCCCCGGTGGCAAGTCAAGGGTGGACTCTCAATTGGGACTGAAAGGGTCGGTCCCCAGTTGTGAGTCAAGTTTGGGCTTGCAACTGGGACAAAAAAGGTTGGGCCCTACTTGCGAGTCCAGGATGGACTTGCAACTGGGAAAAAAAGGTCGGCCCCGGTTGCGAAACAAGAGTGGACTCGTAATTGAGACTGAAAAAGGTCAGGCCCTAGTTGTGAGTCAAGTGGACTTGCAACTCGGACAAAAAGTTGAGCCCTAGTAGTGAGTCCAAGGTGAACTTGCAACTCGGGTAGAAAAAGGTTGGACCCCAATTGCAAGTCGAGGGTGGACTTGCAATTCGGAAAAAAGGTTGGGCCCTAGTTGCGAGTCGAGGGTGGTCTTGCAACTCGGACAAAAAAGGTTGGGCCCCAGTTGCGAGTCGAGGTTGGACTTGTGATACGTCTCCAACGTATCTATAATTTATGAAGCATTCACGCTATTATCCTATCTATTTTGAATGATTACGGGCTTTATTATACACTTTTATATTACTTTTGGGACTAACCTATTAACCGGAGGCCCAGCCCATATTGCTGTTTTATTGTCTATTTCAGTGTTTCGAAGAAAAGGAATATCAAACGGAATCCAAACGGAATGAAACCTTCGGGAGCGTTATTTTTGGAACGGAAGCAATCCAGGCAGCTTGGAGTACAAGCCAGGGAAGCTTTGAGGAAGCCATGAGATAGGGGGGCGCGCTCACCCCCCCTGGGGGCGCCCTCCACTCT